CCCACTCCCCGCTCCCCACGTCAAACGACGACTTTATAACCCAGATGAACTCCGAAAGACGACTTTGAAGACCCACGCCAAATTTCAATACTAATCGTACTAATCCAAGTCCAGAGAATGCCCACGTCACAAGTCCCACCACATACGTAATTCTGAGTTCACATTCTAATACTATTCCGAGTCAAAGGAAGACTGATCTAATATTTAAATTTTAGGTGAGAATTTTTAGGTACAGATGTGGCATGAGACATTCATCGGTATAAACCACCCCGTGCTGCTAGTTCTTTTTCATCTTTCTTCCCAATGAAAGATATGAGATATTCAACTACAGTGCCACAAATTGTGAAGATTGTGAGAATAGTTATCAAGTTAAAATTCCTAAATAAACATAATAATTGAAATAATAAATAATAAATAAAATTTTTAAATAAACATAAAACATTGAAAAAGAGAAAAAAAAAACTTCATATTTAGATCATTGATAACGTGAATAAATTATCCAAATCATCAATATTGGTCTAAATATAGTAATCCAAAATATAAATGAAAAAGCTTGCTTTTAAATATCATTTTAGTTAAAAAATTGTCTTGTAATTTTCAAATCAGTTTCATTTTGAAAATATCTAACAAAAAATATTCTTTTAATTATCAGTTAAATTATTTTTTTAATAACACTATTCAGATCACTATTGACCTTAATATTTTTGGTGCATTTTTACTATTTTGGCGTCAACCATTTTCAAACAATTCTCGGTCCGAAGAAAACGTTTCTAATAAAATAATCACTTATTCTTGATTAATAAATATTCAAACAAATAACAATCTAAATTAATATATTTTCAGATCAAAATCAATTGGTCTGAATTACGTGGGTCTGAATATAAGCAATTTCTAGCTAATAGTGATCATCTTGTTCTTCATAATGGATTTTTGTTGAGAGGTTTTTCAAAGGATGAGAGTGGACTAGGGAAGCAGGAGAAGAGCAGAATTAGAACATGAACATAACATTGCAATACTCACCTAACCGTAGAGGAGAATATGTTATCCAACTCTGTTTTTTCATTAATCTTTACGGTAGCAGAAACTACTACATAAATAGTTCTTCTCTTCACCTAACATTTGACTAGATATATACATCCATGAAATAAGAAAAGCCATACACCTAAAACTTTGACAAAAGGTAAAAGTTTGCTGCCATTTCTTGCGACTTTGACGCCACGTACAGCTCCAACAATTTTATTTACCTACGATTAATTAAGTTCTCGCTCATCATTGCCCTTCTAATTTCAACCCAACTTGAATGTCATTTTACTCTGACATTGGTTCATCAGGTTCTTGCAGGTGCTGCATTGAGATGTTAGTTGCATTCCTTGTGAGAAATTTCAATTAAGTGATGGTAGATGGTGATGTCTAAACATTTGCAACTTGATGGAGTCTTCGGTCTCTGGCTTTCTCTCTTTTCTTTCTGGTTTAAAAGCAATAAATTTCAGCAATATATTCTGAAAAAGGGGGAAAAAAAAGAAGAAAAAAAACAGTTTCATAAATGAACTCAACTCCTTTTCTTTTAATCTTGTGAAGGAACAACACGAAATACCAAATATAACCATGTTAGGTGTACCCTTGACGTGAATTTGACATTCGACTGGGTGTTGAAACTGTTAAATTTCAAGCTATATATAGTTGTTTATTGATTGCGAGCATGGAATTGTTGCAGAAGATACAAAAAACCACGAGAAATTCTCTTTTGCATGGTAGGATATGCAGTGCCTTTATATATGTTAGGCTCAAGATCCTCCCAATCCCAAATGAATTTACGTAATGAGTTGAGAAGAGAAAACGTTAATGCCGTTTTTCTGTATTTCTAAAAGCATCCCCTTGAGGGCATATACAAGCAAGAATATAAATGAGGATCAGAAAGAAGAATAAGATCATTAAAACGGTTGCGTAAAAGCACCGGGATAATTCACCAAAAGAAAAAAAAAAAAAAAAAAGAGAAAGAGGCAAGATAAAATTTTTAAGTTTAAATATTAATTTTGATATCTAAATTTTAAGATTTTACACAATTTTTGTCTTTTAACTTTTTAATATTTGTTTTCCTTAATTTTGAAAATTTTATATAAATATAATTTATAAAATTTATATATAATTGATACCTCATTATGTATATATATATATATACATTCCAGAGATGATAATGCCATAGTACGGTAGAGGTGCTCCATTCTCGTATTCATCTGCTTCATGCCTCTCCATATATACATAATTAGTCTGGTTTAGAGAGTAACGTCGATCGGCTGATGCTTTGGACTTTGAAGACACCGTACAAAGCATTTGCTCAAGCAGCTGCTGTGGTTGCAATTAATTATGTTTAAAGGTAAATGAAGGACCCTGTAAAGTTAAAGGCACAACAACAATGAAGTTTGAATGAATAAAAAGGGGAAACAAAGGACCCTATAATAAGAGAAGAAATTGATTAGCAACTGTTGCAAACTGTAAACATACTTCATTCCTCAGCTTAATTGACCTCACCGGGCAAATAGACGACTGGAGCCCATCCTTCAAATTTTTCTCAAAATGAAAGAATTGCAGTTGTCGGATCTCATTCTCTTTCCTTCTTCTGTACCGTTCATCTCTCGCCTTTCTGTTACTCCTCGCTCCCCAAATCGCGGCAGTCCTCTGAAACTGAAAGCGTAGGGTGAGTTCGGCCGTGTTTTTGTGTTTGGGCTCAACGTGGTGTCAAAATTTTTGGGCCGAGCTTAGTCGCAACAGCTAACTTCTTGGAGAGGACCTGGCATGGCGTTCCGATAAATCTGGATCTAAGTGTCCAAATTAAAAGGCCTAGAGATAGACCGCTAGCGTGATTTTCTTAGGAGGTGTTTGGTTGGAGACTTTTTTTTCTTAAATATATTTTAAATTTTTTTATAAAATTATTTATATATTTTTATATATTAATGTTATAAAAAGATAAAAATAATATTTT